ATTAGTAACTAGGAATAATACTTAATGGGCTAACATTCTAAGTTATTACTTCAATTAATATTTCACTGAATTTTTTCTTCATTTGCTTTCTAGTATTGTAATTAACTCTTCATAGACATTAGTTAGTTAAATTTAACTTTATTCATTTATCATTGAAAAAATCACAAAAAAAATTCTATCTTAAATTAACACATTCAATTTAGCTTTGATTGTTCTTTGATTATTAATTTATAAAAAAAAATTGCAAGGTACGGTTTTTTATTTAATACACAGTCTTTCAATTTTTTTCTTCCTTAATTTTTGTTAGAAGATTAAATAATTGGCTGAGTATCGTTTAGTTGATTTTAAATATAGTTTCATTCTCCTATGTACTTGAATTTATTAAACTATATATATATAAGATTTATCCATCATGTATTATGCTTTACTCGATACTTATCTTAATTATGTTATCCGAGATGATAGTGGGTTTACATTTATAATTTTTTAACTACTTAAATTTAATTCTAATCAATCATTTGTACATTTGTGTTTTGAAGAATATTATTTCATAAGAAAATAATAATAATCGTAAGAAGTTTAATTATATCATTAATTTAATTATTATTCAATAATTAATAAATTTTTATTATTTTAAGTTTTAAATTATTACTTATGTTTATATATTTCAGATAATGCTTAATATATAATCAAGTTAAAATAAAAACATCTAGCTACACAAAGTAGAAAATTGATGTAAATTAAAAAACCATAACCATGGAACCACAATGCTAATGATTTAGTGCATATATGTTGTAGAAAGGTATAGTCCCTAATGTTAAAAAAAATTAAAAAAAAAGAAAAACTTAACTCCCTCCCCTGAACTCAAATTTTTTTCTTACAATAAATAAAACATTGAGACAACGAAGACAAGAAATCACCATCCTTTAATATTCTTTTTCTTCATTAGATTCTCTCTCATCTTCTACTGTGGTTTTTGATGTGCTGATGGGTCTGACATAAAGATGTAATTAAGGTAGCATAAGAAAATAAACTGAACTAGAACTAACATTAGGCTGGAAATTATGGAACATATGCACTATGATTGTATTATAATCATAAGTATAGTTGAACTAATATTGATATTAGTCCATGTAGTAATAAAATTTGTGGCTCATCTTCAACTACCATTGAAGTCCTTCATTTCCCATTTTTTATAGGACAAAAATGGTCTTTTTTAAATCTTCCACCTACTCACTAATGATCTTGGGGGCCCTAACTCTAGATGCTGAAGTACAAGCTTAAGAAGTACTGTCACCATTCCTTAGATGTCAAGACTCCTATGAAACAATTTCTATCCTTTACGAGTAGATTTAAAGGGCAATTGTATTTTTAATGGGGTGTCTAAAATTCATGATGCCATAAATAATTGATAAATTAAAAAAGGATACCATAACCTACAATGTTAAATCATCTTCACACTTTAATGAGACAAGTCAAAAACAAATATTCATATATTTATAGTCATTCTCTTTTTAATTTTAAAACCTTAAATATCATGTTCCATAGTCACATTAAAATATATTATCTATATTCTTCCATTACTAATAAGAAATGGGATTAGTAAAAATACACTAATCATCAACATATTCTAGGTGCCCCTTATAGTAGGATGTATACTCATTTATAAATATGCTCTACATGTTAGACTTCTTATTAATATTGAATCTATTAGAAATTACCTATTTATTTTAATAAAGGACTTAAAATTTGGATGTCCATTGGTTGTGGAAAAAATTTCTTAACTACTAGAAAAAATGCCTTCTTAGGAACATATATTAGTAGAACCAAGCCCCTTTGAGTTATAATAGACTTTATACAGCCCCTAAAACTCATGTATCCTCTCATAGAAATAAGGTTTCTATGCATTATTTCATTATAAATTATCTCTATTCTACCACATTTTGAATAAATTATTTGGAATCAAATCATCCTCTAGCACTCTTCTTCTTCTTCTTCTTTAATAAAACTTTTCTAGAAGACAAGATGATTTATAAGGAAAGAAAATTTATGAAAATGTTGACATAGATTTTTATTATCTCCTTTACTTGTCTTAACTTCACTTTTAACCTTGTTATTTAAAATTTGCAACCACAATGTTGTTCTTCTTATGTCAAAAACATTAGCTTGTCAAGATATCTATCACCCCAGTGCCAACGAGTAGAATTGCAAAGCTAGTTAGTGGTTCACTCAGATAAATAAAAATAATATATGCAATTAATTACTACCCAAAATCATTATTTCAACCAAATATTTTTTGCAAAAAAGATGGTTCAATAGTTGAAAATTTTTTATAGCACCATGTTATTATTGAAAAATAGTTTTGTGGCACTTTGACTATTCAAAGTCAGTCTCATTTTAGTATAAAATAATATAAAATATAAAAATGTCACAAGCACAAATTAATATAATATCAACAAACTGGTTTCATAGTGTTGATAGATAAGTGTTTTGAATTTACCATAAGAATACACAATACATTCAAGATTACAATACTACGATGCACACCAACGGAACTAAGGCATTATGAAAGAAAAACTGTAGAGCTAAACAATCAACATTGCAGTGCTACTTATAGGAAATAGATAATTCAAATAATAATATATAGAAGTACACTAATAAAAAACTAGCACCATGACATTAAGCACCAACATATATCACAGAACAATGTTGACCTCAATTTTTGTGAGGTCTTCTCTTCTTCTTAGTGCTTAGGATCTAGCCTTAGGACTTTCCATGTGATTATCTTAGAAGAGTAAAGATGGAGCCCACCTACATAAGAAATTCATAAAATTTTCTTACTCTCTTTGAGACCCACATGGGTGGTCATGAACCTTCAGCACATGAAAGGTTGAGGCCAACATTTGAGGATTCAAAGGATGAGTGCCCATATGACTACTTGGACTTAGGGAAACCTTGAGTGACTAGGGATTGGTCTTTCACACACTAAAGCACATCACAACTTCCCACTAGTCCTAAAAACCTAAGTTACATCAACTAAACCAACCTCCTTTACCCTTTATGAAACTCACATGGATACTCTTAAGCCTCTGGTCTTTGATTGAGATGACTAGTATCAATAAGTGAAGGTACATAAGAGGTTGCCATTGGGTTAGGTTTGGTCCCAAGGTTTTTAACTATTGCTAAGAACCATGATCGATTCCTTAAACCCTAAATTCTACCAAAATGACCAATTTTGGCCTTTTAGCCCCGAACTTTTTCAAAATTACCAAATTGCCCCTACAACCCTAAAAATTCCAATAATGACTCAATGTATCAATATTCGCCAGAAATAATGTCAAACCATTATAAACCATCAAAATTGACCAAAACACCCCAAATTTTCCAAAATTCCCAAAGAACCCCTAAGTTTGCCAAATTTACCAAAATGCCCCTTATTGCCAAAAAATTCCTAAAAGCTCCCAAATCATTTCAAACATCCTCAAAAACAATCATAACTGCCCATTGGCCCAATTTGACCAAATTGATCAATTTTGTCAAAAATCCCAATTTTAAACCTAAAGAAACAAATTCCCCAATTTACTCCCACCTTCCATCAAATTGATGTCAAATTTACCTAATTCTAAATCTACATCAAAACTAAACATGTTCAAGGCCAATTGAAACTAAAACCAAACTTATTTGATTTGCCCCATGATCCAAATCAATTTAATTGCATTTTAAAAGTCCATCTTCATATTCATGTTAAAAACCCCATTTTGTTAATTTGAAAAAGCCCAAATCCAAGCCCACATGACAAACTTTCTCTCATCATCATCCTTTTAATAAAACCATGCATCATGGCATTATATCATGGATGTATTTGATTTTTTGCCAAAATTTATCATGGCATTTTTCTTCAAAATTTACAAAAGGTTTAAATTTCCTTTTCATGAAATTCATACATGGCATCATGTATGGCATGGCATGGCTAATGCAGCCATCTATGGGCCTCTTGAGGATCAACTTTGGCAAATAATGGAAAAAGGAGGACACCACCCCCTTTCCTCTTCACACAAGTTTTTCCTTTCTCATGCAAATTCAAATCTTTTTAGCTTATGCACAAACCAACCATCCAAGTCCACTAAAACCTCTCTTAGGGTCATGAAACTCACTCTAGCCACCATGGAACCAACCTAGCCCTTGGACAAAGGGGTTAAACCTGAACCTCACTTCCCCTTGGACTAAATCCTTGGACCCAGCTTAGGACCAAATTGGCTTGAAAACTCAACCTCCCTTACTTCCCTAAACTCATAGGTGACTTGACCATGGTCGGCCGACCACCGAAGCCACTGTGAAATGGCAAAACCAAGAAGCTTCAATAGGAGAAAACCCAAAATTAAACCACTCAGCCCAATTAGCCACTAGAGCTCTTCTTCCCTTCATCTAAGCTGCTACCTTGCTACCATGACATGCCTTATTGACCACTAGATGCTCCTCTATAAATGGGAGAATGATACACTAAAAATATATAATATTTATGAACATAATTTTTATACATATTTCTGAGATATTATGTTTTAATGAAAAGTACTTGTGTGTTTTTCTTTCAGCTACAATCAAATGGAAGAAAAATTGTGAAATGAGCAAAAAAGGATCATTTTTGGAGCAAAAATGAAGAAGGTGTGTAAAATAACTGTGACACTTAAGCGTGCAAAACTGACACTTTGCGACAGAAAAAACGAGAAGGCTACGCCTAAGTGCCAAGTACCACATAGTTAAGCGCTAGAGGTAATTACTTGGGGATTCAATGAATTTAGACAATTTTTTTAAGAGGAGTTTGAAGCAACTCTTGGTGAAAAGGTGAGAAATTGTTGTCAACAAAATTTTAGGGGGGGGAGGGTCATCCTGTTGAAGCTGTCAGTTGCCGGAATGAAAATCTCATCGCCTGCTTCGAAGAGACATTTAATATATATATATATATATATATATATATATATATTGTTTCTTTACAAAATTCTAATGTCGCAGATTCAATTTTTAATAAGATAATCAAGGCAAGCATCACTAATTGGAGAAAAGGTTCTAAGGTTACCTGCCGAACAAAAGATGAATCTTTTGTTCAATTTCTATGGAAAATAGTATTAGGTGGGGAAGATTATGGTTCTATGCTTACTATGAGTGTAAAAATCAGTAGTAAAATGTAGGTGCTATTAGTTTTTGGGATTGTGGAACATATTTCTGGTGACTTGTACCTATAGTTATATCTCATAATGGAAGAGAGCCAAAAGCAGTGTGTGTTGTGTTAACCAGCTCAGAAGAGGATAAAAAAGCTCTCTTGATAGAAATTCAGAATCTGGAAGATGAGAAGAATCTCAAACTCAGAGGATTCAAACATGTCATTGATTTGATCTCAAGTTCTCACAAAGCAATAGTTTTGTACAATTGTCTGCATGAATTTACAATCATTCATCAGAGGTTTCTCAGCCCATTGTCGGCTACCTTGTCAGAATTCATGTGCCCGTTAAGGTTGTTATTTGACCGAAGGAAAATATGTTGAGATTTTCATACCTATTTTACACTATTTTTTATGATATTGCATTTTAAAGAAGTGTATTTTTTATGTTTTGTTGCAGGTATGATGAATTATGGTCATTGGAGCAAAAAGATACAAAACCGGTACAATTTGGAGTAAAAATGAGCAAGAAATGAAATTTTTCCCTGTAACCTTTCGATAAGTCTTTCGATGCTTAATCTGTTTTACACTTCTTATATATTTTTGAATGATATATTTTTGAATGGAGTTACTTTTGAATGGAGTTACACTTTAAAAGAAGTTTGTTATCATGCTTATTTTGTAGGGCTATCTATTAGGAACATAATGCAATTGAAATGGGGTGAAATTGAGCTAAAACGAAGACAAACGTAGCGAAATAGTAGAGCTGCACAGTCTGCTCGCCAACGGCGCCCAAAATGGTGTCGACGGTGAGATCTACTTGAGAAGACCAAAAAATGGCAGAAAAGCTCACTGACGGCGCCCTCGAGCATACCGATGGCGCCCGGGATGACTATGGACAATCTTTTGGCAGGTATTGGCCAAAATTCAATGTATTTGGATGCTTATTGAAAGGACTCTAGTGGCAACTCCTCAAACTTCATCCCTACACTTTAAAAAGACAAACTTAGGTTAGAAAAAGGAGGGTTTTGTGTGAGAGGAATGTTAGGAAAAGTGTGGTGAAAGTTTAGGGTTTTTAGAAGGTTTTTAAGTGTGGTGAAAGTTTAGGGTTTTTAGAATAGGAGTAGAAATGTAGATTTCTACCCTTTTGGAGAGATTGGAGAGGGGATTTTAGGAGAATTTGTAAGGAGATGTTCTAGCGTTGCTTGGATTGACAGGATAATTTGTGGGAGAGTTTTTCTTCTTTCTTTCAAAAGGAAAAAACTAAGTATTGTGTTTTTCATTATCTTATGGTTTTGTAAACACTTATCTAGTGGATTTGCTTTGATGAAATGAAGTTTTCCGTTGTGTTTTCTTCATACTTTTTGATGTGTTTCTCTTACTCTCCCTTCTTGTTTGAAAATAATGGTATGAGAAGATTATGCCGTTATTTTCATTTTACATTTCTTTTGTAATGATTAGAATTCATGTTTAGGATTTTTTGATGCATATTAAAAGCTGATTTAATTATAAATGTGGTGGTTTTTACTTGCACTATTTACATTACAATAAAGACCTGTTGTAGTGTTAAAATTTGTTGTAATTGCATTAAGACCCGAGAGGGCTGTGTAATTCTCAACAAAGTAGAACCACATTCAGATTCCATGGATGGTTAAGTTCATGGGAGTTGAATGCAAATAAATAGGGAATTATACTTTGATTGGCATAGAATTGGAGATTTTAGGGTGGCAGACTAAAATCCCCAATTCGGTCCTATTGTTTGAGTACTGAAGCGAAGATGTTAGCCCTCAGTTGAGGGGAACGTGGGGGCTCTGAAGTGAGAGCCGGGATCCTCCCAGCCCGGATTCAGTAAATAAGCATAGGATTATTCAATATTTTTTATGTCTGGACCAAAGGGTAAACAATAAGATTGTTCCTATTTGGCACATACAATATTTAATGCATCTCATTCCTTTACGTTATCTGACTCATTGCATAAGAATACTAGTTTTTATTATCTCAACATTCTCCAAACCAATTCCTCAAGAAAGGTTTCTCTTTAGAATTAATATTTGTATTTAGTTATAGTTACTATCTTTACATTTAACACTTGCATTTTGGAGTAGTTGCTAGATAAAACATCATTTTAATCGACATTCCAACTCAGGACAAATAGTAGTAGATTAGAATTTGACTATGGACCTCTTACCTCGCTTCCCTGTGGGATCGATAAACGGGACTCCATTAGAGCCCTGTATTACTTGAGCGATACGTATAATTGCGTTTGAAACTGTGAATTTACAAAATCATTATAAATATATAAATCTGAGTTCATAAATTCTTGCATATTAAAGTTTTTGGCCCCATTTTCGGGGATTTAAATCTTCTAGTAGTGGTGTCAAATTCTTGTATTTATAAGCATATATAAAGTCGCTGTTAAGCTTTTGGTGCCGTTGCTGGGGAAGCTTCGGTAAGAACTTTAGGAGAATTTTATTTGAAGTAATTAGGGAAGTAATTAGGCTTAGACTTGGAAAACTATAGTGTCGTAAAAAACTAATCTTGTGTGAAAAATGTTTTTATATGAAAAAGTGTTTTGAAAAAAAGAAAAAAAATTCTTTTTATGAATAATAACGTGTTCGTGAAAATGTTTTGTTGTGTTGAATAAATTTCATCTGTTATTTGTTTAATTGTTAATGTATTGTTTGTTCCTATGCAAAATAAAGGGTCTGCAGGACTTGTGCCTTATGATCCCGAGTTTGAAAAAAAATAAAAAAGTAAAAATATGAAGAGGACTCGAAAAACTAGAAATGGAAATGAAAAACTTTCAAGATAATAACTTGAAAAATCATCATACTTCATTAAGGGATTACGTAAATCCTATGATAGATGAAATTTACTTAAGTATACAAAACCCTATCGTAGAAGTTGACTCATTTGAAATAAATCCTGAGATTATCCAACTGGTGCAGAAGAATTAGTTTGGGGGAAATCGTTTGGAAGATCCTTATTTACACTTATCAAATTTTATAGAACTTTGTGCTATATTTCATTATAACGGTATGTCAGGCGATGCTGTCAGACTAAGGCTTTTTCCTTTCTCACTACGGGACAAGGTTAAAATGTGGTTATAGTCATTAGCACCTGGCTCTATTAAAAATTGGGAGGATTTAACTCAGAAATTCCTAACTAAGTATTTTTCACCTTCAAGGACTACTTAACTTAGAAAAGATATTATCTCATTTTGTCAGTATGAAGGGGAATCAATATACGAGCCTGAGAAAGATTTAAGGAACTCCTAAGAAAGTGTCCACATCATGCTCTGCCTGATTGGTTAATCATTCTAACTTTTTATAATGGGTTAGTAGAATCCCTTAGGCTTATAACTGATGTTGTCGCTGGTGGATCATTAATATCAAAATCACTTGACGAAGCATATGCATTAATTGAAGAAATGGCTACAAATTAATTTCAATGGCCCTCTACAAGGGTAAATCCTAAGAAGGTAGCCCGTGCTTATGATACAGATGAGATTTTAATTCTTGCATCTCAAGTTGCTGCAATATCAAAGAAGTTGGAACAATTTGGAATGAGCCAAACTCAATTTACTCCAGTAAGTGAGGAAAGTTCATTAGGGCATATTATTGATTTTAACTTATCATATGATGCTTTAAATACCATAAACAACCCGTACTCTAACTTTTACAACTTAGGTTGGGAGAACCGTCCTAATTTTAAATGGAATCATACTACTGACGATGGAAACCAAAAATGGGAAAATAATCATGCAAATCCTAATGGAAGTTGGAATAATTAAAGGAACACAAACTATAGACCTTCATATCCACTGGACTCTAACAATGATCAACAATTTCAAAATAAGAAGATGTCTATAGAAGAAGTGGCATTGCAAAGCTTAGAAATAGACCCCAAGGAACACTACCTAGCAACATTGAGATCAACCCTAAAGAGAACACTAATGAAGAAGTAGAAGCTGTCCAATTAAAAAGTGGAAGAGAGATAGAGGATGTGGTTAGAAAAGAGAAAAATGTTGTGAGAGAAACAAAGCAAACTAAAAGACCTGAAGAACATGTTTCTAAGGATCTGGAAAAATTAATATCTCCAACTAAAATCAAGTTGGAAAGAGCACCACCTCCATTTCCTCAAAGACTTAGACAGCATGAGTTGGATAAAAAATTTTCAAAGTTCATGGACGTACTTAAGAAGTTAACGATAAATATTCCTTTCACTGAAGCTTTGAAACATATGCCAAGTTTTGCAAAATTTATGAAGGAGATATTAAACAAGAAAAGGAAATTTGGGGATTACGAGACAATTGCACTAAGTGAGGAGTGCAGTGCTATACTTCATAAAAGATTTCCTCGGAAACTTAAAGATCATTGAAGCTTTACAATTCCTTTTGTAATTGGGAAAAGATTATGTGGAAAAGCTTTATGTGATTTAGGATCGAGCATTAATGTGATGCCTTTATCTATATTATGTGATAAATTTATCTTTCCTATGGAGGAAGATAAAGAACATCCCATTATTTTTGGGAGACCTTTTCTTATTACTAGACAAGCTATGATAGATGTGCAAAAAGTAAAGTTAACTATGAATATTAATGACCATGAAACAACTTTTGATTTTTTAAAGGTTATGAAATATCCAGCTGAGAGAAATGGTGATGATTATTTTTGAATGGATGAAATTGATTATCTAAGTAAAAACTATTTCCAGAAAGTTTTGAGAGTAAGTTAACAGATGAGATCAAAATGGGCTTTCATGATGAGTCTAAAATGTTGTTTAAAGAGGACGATATGTATATTCAGGAGAGGTGTGAAATGATGGACGTTACCAAAAATAGTAAACTTTTATTTCTATCTGTTGAAAAATCTCATGAACTTAAAATGAAGACCTATTTGGTGAATTCATATACACCACCAGTCTCTATATTTTCATATTTGACTCAGTCACAAGATGAACCTAAATTGAATGATGAAATTAGTAAAAGATCTCCTATGAAATAGTTATTCTAAGTCACTGAATGACATATTCAATGATATACAAATAAAATGAATGAGATTCTAATGTTGGGGAAGATTATTAATGCAATTAACAGTTACCCCCCAAGAGATTTTACCTAGTGACTCTGAGATAAATCCTAAGAAAAAGAATTATGAGCAATTTAAAATTATTGAACTGATATTTAAAAGAGAGTTCAAGGATTTGTTTTAAAAGAGCTTTGAGTTAAGAGATAACGATAAGGAAATTGAAAGATCAATGGAAGAAATTCCTGAAGAATTGGAAGATAACTTGAAACAGAAGAGCAACATAGAAAAATTTGATTCAGAATCTAAATTATCTAGTGAGAATCTGATCCAAAACTTTAAGAATCATGAAGTATAATATAGAGATCCATTTCTTATAAATTTCAAGGATGATATTAATATGCAATACGAGAAAATTACTAGAAGAATATTGGATCTAGAAAGAAATATGAGAACAAGGATATGAATCAATATGAAAAGGAAGAGCTGAAAGAAAAATTTAAATTTGAGGAATTTGTAGGAATCCCCATATCTGGAAAAAATTGGGGTATTGATCAATGATTACTTAATTGGAATTTTGATCCAGGTGGAATCATTTATCAGGCTAGAGATGTTAAATCAAGCACTTTATGGGAGGCAACCCAAAGTTATCTGTGAAGTTATCTGTTATCTGTGTGGTTTGATTTAGTATGCTTAAGAGTAATGATTGTGAGTGTTGTATTGTGTTTGCTTTAGTGTGGGTTGATCTGTTTGCATGATGTTAGGTAGATAATTGGATTGTTAGTGTTTTAATTTACTTTTTGTGTGTCATGAGGGAGATGATTCCTTAAATTATTATTATGGTTAGACTTATATGTTTTCTTGTAGTAGTTAGAATGATGAGAACACTACAACTCGGGTCTCACCCGGACTCAGGTTTCATAAGAGATATCATGAATTCAAACAAAGACAGTTCCATCTCAATTTTATTACTTCCTCTCTTAGACTTTAATTTCATTTGATAGGAGTCGAAAACATATTTAATGAGTAACTTTTGGATGATATTACACTATCCTTATAACTGCTAGAGGTGCTTAATTATTGGGATATGGTGATATCTGGTGTTGGAGCCCGAGAACCAATATATCAGGGATAATCTTATCTTTGGGATTAGAATCTATAAAATCATTTATAAACACCAAATATATTTATGTAGGGATTCTGTTAGAAATTGGAAATAAGTTAGTGAGATGCGATGAGATGGAGGAAGAATTTACCTCATTTATCTTGTTTGTGTGTTTTTATTTGTGTTACAATTTATAAGACTTGAAGACCATTTTTATATTCGAATGTTGATCCATGTTATGCTAGTTAGAAGCTTGTTTAGTTAATTTCATTCTAGCAAGTTTAGTTTAGATTTACATTCTACTACATGTTTTCTATCCTAATAAATAATTGTAGATGTTTTTGATAGAAATTTGTGGTAGATAGAATTTCTAAACTGTTTTTCTTCCTACTTATATTTTCT